GTGTGTGTGTGTGTGTGTGTGTGTGTGTGTGTGTGTGTGTGTGTGTTTATTGTATTTGTCGTATGAGTTTCTCTGTGTCCTCGTAATTCAAAAATTTCAACCATTCATCTATCACCTTTTTGATTTCATAATATTGCATTGGGTATATATTTAATTCCTTGTTTAATTTATTGTACAACTGATTCGAACGCTTTTTGTATTGCATGCTTCCAAACGCATTTTGGTATGAGGGACTTGTGCCGCTATGTCCTTCCTCCTTCTTGTGTCTATACTTGTGTTATATGGTAAGTCTTTATGTTTTTTTTGAAATTATGTGTTTTATGTAAACTTTTCTAACCGCGAGTAAGCCACAAGTAAGGTACAGGTTTTCTGTGCAGTATCTACGTTTTTGAAAGTACATAACCCTTATCAGACCACGCTGCGCTCGAACTATCTCAATGAATTTATATTTCGCCGCACCTCCCCATATGGGAATACAGTACATCAGAACAGATTGCACCAAGCAATATATATTTCATTAAGGAGATGCTTATGAGAGTCTTTGCTTCTGGTCATCTTTCCCGAAACTATCTCAGAGATCTGAACATCCAGATTAGCTTTCTAACCGTGGTAGAAACTTGTTCAATGTGTGACAGTCTTTGATCGATGATAATACCTAAATATTTAGTTTGTGATACTTTCTCACCACAGTTTTCATTACACACACATTTTTTACATTATAGAGCCACCACTAACGAATACTTGAGAACTCAAAACGTGACATAAATAATAAAAAGTAATTCGTTTATGAACTATAACTACAAATTCGCGCCAAATTTTTTTTTTCACTTATACTTTTTTTATGATATTATGTACATACTGCCTATAGTTTTGTAAATACGTATCATTAATAATAATAATAATGTATATGTTATTGTGCGTGTAACTGAAGAACCTAGTTTTTCTTGAGTCGAAATGTTGCATCGTTACGAATATGTAAGGTGTTGCCCTAAAATCGGATTGCTGCTTTAAACTTTTATAACGTAAGTATACTCAATAATTAACACTTCATATTAATGCATAGGTAACTAAATTACGGGTTCATTTTGGCATTTTCATAACGTGTCACCTTGCATTATACATTTTCATACATATAATAAAAAACGAATGTCTTTCTAATTAAATAATCAAAACGAAATCTGAAACGGCAGATATTTAGTAATAAATTACTACTAGAACTTTACCAATTATAATCTCTGTAATACTTACTAATCCGAAGATATAGACGTTTGTTACTTTTCAGAAATTGGAGGATTGAGTGACCACTTAAAAATAATTATTATTCAAAAACGTTTCATATTAGTGACTTGTTTTATATTTTACAAATTCATATGTAACTTTTACTAAATCTAGACATAAACAAAATTTAATTCACTTGTTTGGTTCTTAAGAAATCGTTCCTTTTAAAAACGTGCACATTGAGTAAGCATAAGAAAATATTTGTAAAAAATTGAAAAAGGCACTAATCGATCTGTAATTAAAAACGATAGTTTAGCTAAACTTTTACTAAAAACTAGTAGAATAATATTATATGTAAACTTAATACTTTTGTAGATCTGACTCTCTCTCTCTCTCTCTCTCTCTCTCTGAGACTCGCCCTCTGTGAGAACTGAGTGAGCACACATTAAGTTATTTTTCTCTTATTTTATCTTTTTACAAATAGAAAGATTGGTTTCTACAATTGTTTTAGAAGTTTTACTAAATGACTAACACATTTTAAACATTTTACAGAGGGTGCTCACTCAATCCACACACACGTTAATTACATTACAACTTTAATATATCAATATCACACACTCAACATAGCTCCGCACTGGGGAAACCCTGTATCGCGGGTGCCATGGACCCATACATAGACGACCACAAATTACATTCTCCCGGCCCGGGAACCTGAGACCGTTCGGCCATAGAAGCAGTTTAAAATGTGGTAGTCATTTAATTACTACCATATAGGTCACCATATCACCATATAGGTATTAACCACATAGGTCAAGCTTTGTAAAGAACTTGTGTTATTATGTGGCTTACATATGACCATTGTAACTTAAAATTCGAATCAAAATCAAATGCAAATTCGTATTTTCTCGGTTTCGTTTGTCGACAGTGCCCGGGTGATATATGAACTCGAACCGAATTTTATAAGTTATATTAAAAGTTAAGTTTAGTTTTGTATAATAAAAAAGATAAAGTAACCGAATGATTTTACTGGTGAAGTGATAGATGTTTCTAAACGATGTGACAACAGCGTATAATCAAGCGGCTCATTACTTTTCTATTGACTTGTATGAAATTGCGATCATAATGTACTTCTGTTGCTCGTATGTGCCGGTATACGCGAACCATGGACCAATAACTAAATAGGACTGCTAATCACGATAGAAGACCACGTCGTTGGGTATTTATTACCTATTGGTTCACCAGATGTTGCGACAAGTATCGAAGCTACTCTAATTTCTAGTGATAACAAACAAATCAACTAGATGGCGCTTATTGCACAGATTTTTATGAATATTGCCGGCTATTCTTTTATTTTGTGTAAGATTAGCGCCATCTACCCATATTAAGAAGTTAATGTATAAATTAGTTTGTAACACACAATGCCATCTGTTGACACGCATAGTTCTCAAAGTTCAGAAAATAATTTTAGCCCATGATCAATATTTTAATAAGAAGTTTTTTTCTTGTAAGTATTACAAGGAAAAAAACTGCCTTCTTATATTACAGAGGAATTAATTGATATCCACCACACTACTTCCAATATATGGATCAGCGCCATCTAAATATAAGACCGAATGTTTTACCTTTTTCAGAGCTACAGTCTTTAGTATGGAGATTAGCAGTCCTTTTGAGTTACTGGTCCATGGTGTTAATATAATGTTTATTGTACGTAAATAGAACCCTCCAATAAAATGAAATGTTTCTTAGCTTGTGTGGCTTATTTAAATTCTATAAATGTACAGACGTCTATAAATTTACGCTACAATTTGGAATCTCGTTCTCCAAATAATTCTCTAACTAATAATGATTCATTCTGACCGGCTACTACAATTAAGAGTCCGGGTCTTTGAATCAGCTCCTTTGAACAACTCCATAATGTATTCTCAATTTACTTTGAAACTAGAGCGGGCAAGCAGCTGCTAAGCAATTATACATTTTAATTAACTGGAAAAGTCGGAGATGCAAAGAGTTTAGTTGCAGCCTTTTTGTTAGCAAAAAACTAATAGACAAATCGCGGATATTTGTCTTTTTTTGCTAATGTTTCATGCTCTTCACAGGTCCCGTGGTCACGGCTAACTGGGGTAATATTGATGCAAACCACCCTATTATGAACTACATTAGTTATTTTGATTTTATATCCGACTTACATAGCAACCGCGTTACGAGCTCGATAATGTATAATTAAACTTATTATATTCCTGTAAATGTGACGCTATAGCAATTATTATAACGAGAACAGACTCAGATTTATGTAGCAAAAGTAACAATCCTTTATAATTCATTTTTAATAGGATAACACGTCATACCACGTCAAGGAAAACGTAGTGTGTAACCTGAGCTCGGTGGCCGGCAGCGGCTGGATGCGAGCGGCACAAGACAGGGAGAGTTGGCGTGCTCAAGGGGAGGCTTATGTCCAGCAGTGGATGCGTGTAAGTTGATGATGAGGATATAATATTATTAATTAATATAGGTACAATATCAAGTGATAATAATAATTGTACTCTAATATCAACAATAATAAATAGTGAATATACTCGTAAAACAAAATACCAACATTCATAAAATGTACAATTAAGATTTTATATTGAGATTCATTACAGCTAAAATGGTAGGAAAGCTAGATAAAATAAAAATAATTACAATATTTTAAATTGATCGGTGAGCTTAGCAGCACTCATGTGGGATGCTATATAGATGGAGTATGTCTCAATAATATTAGTTATGCCGATGACATGGTGCTGCTGGCACCATCGATCAGTGCACTTAGAAAATTAATTGGGGTTTGTGAGGATTATGCCGCCTCGCATGGATTGATGTACAACGTCAAAAAGACGGAGTATATGGTCTTTGGGGTCGCCGGTAAGAAGAGTTCTAACAATGTGCTTCCCATAAGTCTCAATGGAATTCTATTGAAGAGAGTAGCTCATTTCAAATATTTAGGACACTATATTGCCGACGACCTCAAGGACAATATGGATATAGAACGCGAGCGCAGGGCACTGTCGGTGAGGGCGAACATGCTGGCTCGCAGGTTTGCTCGATGTACGGTGGAGGTGAAGGTCACTCTTTTCAGAGCTTACTGCACACCACTATACACGGGGGCTCTGTGGGCCAGCTATACCCAAGTCTCGCTCAGGGCCATGCGCACGCAATACAATAACGCCTTCAGGACGCTGATGCGGCTGCCGCGGTTTTGCAGTGCGTCTGCCACGTTTGCTGAAGCCCGTGTGGATAGCTTCATGGCAGTCTTGCGCAAAAGATCAGCATCTCTGTTGAACAGAATACGTGGCAGCGGTAACAGCCTCCTGAAGACAATTGCAGTTAGGTGTGAGTGTCCCACAATGCGGCATCTCATTAATAATACAAAATCTGTTCTAGAATTTAAGTACTAACCTAATTATAAGTTTCATTGTTGCTAACACTTATGGATCCTAGTTATCTGAATAAATGAATTTGAATTTTAAAAACAATAAAAAATTGTCTGAATAAAGGTAAGTTGCGCGTTACGGTAAACTTTCACAAGGA